GGCTCGTAACCTTACGTAAGATTACGAAGCGTAGGGTTTACGTAATACTTCGCATTATTAAATTTACTGATGTATTAACAGAAATCACGTCCTAGATCTCAGAAAATGCTCAATTCTTTATGCTGAACAACTAGTCAATTGTATCAGTAACTATATGTTCTTTTACAAAGACTTCATTCACATTACGCACTAACAAACAAGGTTTGTCAGAACTCCCAAATGGTATTTTATTATAGAACAATTCTTACATCCATCACCAGACTGATTTATCACAAGAACATTCTTGCATGACATAATATATGGCTACATACTAAAATAACAACATCTCACCCCTGACTATAGATCATGCGCTGTGAGGTGGATATTCAATCTCAACAGTTTTGTCATTGGATGTTTTACCCATGCCGATCAAAATACTCTGCAACTCAAACACTATAATTTTGAAAAAGCAACCGATCATAGTACCAAATTGATCCTATGTCTCCGCTGTTCCCTGCACAATCAAAATGCACCTCTAATAAACAAATCATATTGCTGCGTCAGTATCCCTCGTGCTTACTGTGCAGCCTTTCACAATATTTATTATGACAGTTCCAGCTTCACAGCGTTATCCGTTGGTGCTCTTAATGAACTAGCCTTAACTTGTGCAGTAGCATCCTTTCAACCCCATATCTTAAATGTACCACCCCCTGTTCCTCCTCCTACACATAGTTTTTGTATAGATAAATTTATCCCTTCCCCCCATAAAGAAGAACTACTAACACTCTCTTCCAAATTTGTTTTGCTACTGAGTTAGAATTTTACACTGACGGATCTCTTACAGACGTCAGTCTTCTTTCAATCAAAATGAGGATTACTTGGTTACAATCTCATCAGAATTCGCTCATGGTCTCCTTTAGCACTGCTTTAGCCTCCAGCTTTCCATCATCATCAATACTTGAATTTGCAGCTCTGTTTACAGCACTCCTGACTGTTCCTCCAAATTGTAAAGTCAAAGTCTATACTGACTCAGCCA